AAATTGTACTAGAAAAAATATATATTATAGCTAGATAGGTCAAATACCTAAAGAGTTTACAAACACAGTTATTACATCCCTTATACATGCTTTAATGTATGTACAAGCTAAGCTGGCCAAGGCCTAACATCTACATTTTATCTCTTCTGACTGAGGTCTCCTAAAACAGTAAAAAAATATGCCGTATATCACAAAACTAACATGTATACTTACTGGTTCAGTTTATCCTAGTTGTACATAATATTATAGGATTTATAGGTACGCGATACCGAGTGCCTTAATAAAAATGACAATTTCTTCTTCTTGTTCTTTAGATCGGTTAAAAATGACAAATTTCAACACGGAAATGTCGTTATTTTAAGGTTACTTTGTTTTCTCGGTCACAGTTTCTATAGTTATGGATGTTTGATAGGTTTCTACCTTTGAATATAAAACCAAAACTATAGGAAGGAGCATAACCTCAAATCTGCGTGACCAAAAAATGTGGAGGTTGCATATGGCCGACTAGTGTTTCCGGTTTGGCAGTGGCGTATATTTATTTAAATATGATTGTCAATATTATGACTTACTCTTTTCGCACTAATTCCAGTGCTTATTATCACTTAAAACTGCTAAAATCCATCAAACCTCCACTTGAATGAGGACACAGCGAACCACCAAAACAAATGATGAGTCCATACTTGGAGGCTCAAAATGGCCGTTTCCGTCCCTGTGTTGTCTGTAGTGACAGATAGGAAACGCTCCTTCCTGTAGTTTTATATTCAAAGGTTTCTACAAAACAGCTAGGAAAGCTCTGTAACTCATACGGTGTCCTTGTCTTATGAATTGGTATGACAGAGAAAAATGAAACAGAATCGAATGATCGGACCGATCTTTCGTAAGTCTCTAGCTTTCCAAAAATTCCGCAATGCGCTATGCGCAACCGGATGCGCAGTAATAGTATAACCTATTTCGGCTATACTTTTGAAGGTCTTTTTATTTTTTATTGTCTATGGTTTAGGTTATACATCTTGTCAAAGTTGCAAAAAGTCAATTTTCAACTGTCAATTATTTGAATAATCAATTCATTCATTCATTTTTTTCTTATTCAATTCTAAGCTCAAACCCAAAACCTGCATTGTTAAGAAAGAAAAGATAATAGACGGTTCTAGTTCAAATAATAGAAAAAAAAATTAGGCGGCAATACATCGATCGAAAATTTTTAGGTGGGGGATTGGTTAAATATGGTCAATTCAAATTCCTTTCAAAGTACTTCAAGCCCTTTAAAAGTGCTTCAAGCCCCTATCAAAGTGCTTCAAGCACCCAAAAGTGCTTCAAGCCCTCTAAAAGTAATTGAAGCTCATTGAAAGGGCTTGAATTACTTTTTTTCTCCAAACGTCAAAAAAACGTCACTTTGTTAACGCCTGTCAAGATGTCAGAAATTTAATTTCTATGCTGCTAGACAAATCCAGCGGGTTAACACCTGTCGAGGTGGTAGAAATTTAATTTCTATGCTGCTATAGGCAACCGCAGCGGCAGTAGAAGTACTTTCAGTGCCGCTGGAGCGGCAGCAAAAGTACTTTTAGTGCCGCTCGTACTTTTACTGCCGCTCAACCATCCAGTTACCTCCGAGCTTACCCCATTCGTTTGGAGAAATAATAGCGTGTTGCATACGGAGTAGAAGCACTTTTTTGTGCTTCAGCAGTATTGCAAGCCTCACTACGTTCGGCTCGCAAACCTACTGCTTCAGCACAAAAAAGTAAAGCTTCTACTCCTAATGCAACAATATACTATTTTCAATTACAAATCAGATTAGAATTACGCGATAATTGCATAGTAACTGGTGTGAGAACTGGTGTTTTGACACTTTTTGACAAACAGGGCCGATCCTAGGGTATGGGCCGCCCGCGTGCAAAGAACAATTGCGCCGCCCCATAGGGCTATAGCACCTTTACGTAGGTGCTGGTCGTGGTAGCTCGCCGCAGGCAGAATTTTTTTTTGGGTGCTACGCCCAAAAGCGTTCATTTCGAGCCACAAAATGAAAGTTTTTGGGCGTTTAGAGTTAAAAAAAACTTGTTTGGAACAACACATCAACATATTTGTTTTCTATGAGTTGTTTGAATGCGGGTGAGTGGTGATCAGTGATGCCAGGTCTGGTGAAATTTCACCAGATCTGGTGGTTTTGTGAATAATCTGGTGATTGATGAAAAACTTTTTTAAATATGGCATCTTCTGGTGATTTTGAAATTTCATCGATTTTGAATATTTTTAACAATTGTCGTTGCAGCGCTACGTCCACCGAGTACAACAAATGTTGTGTAAGTAGCTATTTTTATTGCCACGATTCGTTATCGCATTTTTTGGTTCACAACACGTAATATAGCCTGAAAAATCAACTTTTAAGATTTCTGGTGATTTTTTTTTTTAAATCTGGTGATTTTTCATTCCAATTTCTGGTGAATTTAATGTTTTTGACCTGGCAACACAGGTGGTGATGTGGTGATGACAAACACTATCCTAAACTAAGTAGGGCCTGGCTTGGACCTAGGTACAAAAGTGAGAAATAGGGCCCTGTGGAAAATCAAGACACCCCAGTCCGTAGTTGTAATTAATACTTACCTACATAACATACCCACCTGCACTTGGAAGTCTTTGGTATAGTTTTTCCAAATTTAATTGGAACAAGGTGAACATAAATTATAACTGGTGGCTGACTAGTGGCAGTGCATTTCTTATCTCACTGTACATTATTCCCATATGACACGAGAAGCTTAAAAAGTGATAAGCCTTTTGGGATTATCGCGCTTGGTGGCAATATTGTTATTAATAATGATAAAAATTAATAAAGCATTAAAGTTTAGTTCGTTGTATAACCTTTTGAATACCACTCGATGTTTCAGGATTACCTAATACTTTTACCTGACACTCAAGGCGTTACCAGCAACACCTATCCTCCTTCGGAGTCGTGGTGTTGCTGCGTAACGCGTTTCGTGACAGGTACCTAAAAGTATTATCCGGTAATTCTGAAACCTCTTGTGGTATTCGAAAATTTTCAGTGACTATAGTCAGCCACCAATTGGTACCTACCTTGTTCCAATTGAGTTTGGGAAATACTATATCAAAAAAGTTGGTAATATTGTTAGCGGGAGTATTCATCTAGTTCTGTTGGACGGTTAGTAATTATTCTTGCAGAATTAGGTGAATTGGGAACAAAAATAAACATTTTGAACAAATAAAGCAGAAGTATTTAGGAAATTTAATAAATTATGCGATCTTATGATGGATGTTTACAGAGTTAAAACATTATACGTGAGCCTACACATTGACTGTGCACTAAACTTTCTATTTTTGCTATCAGATCGGGGTTTATTTCCATTTTTCAGGAGTTTTTTAAAGTTCAGCTTATTTCTTTATTAGAAGTAGTTTTATTTTGAGAAATTCATAAAAAGTTTTACTTGAATCTTGAATGACAGAATTAGAGGCGGCCTCGGGCCGCCCCTAGATTTGGCCGCCCGCGTGCGGGGCACGCGCTGCACACCTGCTAGGATCGGCCCTGTTGACAAATAATTTAAATTTTTGATTCATGAAATTCTCTGATAAAATATAACTCGTGCAATGAAAATATATCTATAATTTTCGACAAATTTACACTCATGCGTTTTTAACGGACTCGTGCACTACGTGCACTCGTGCTCTTTTTCAACAAAAATGCATTCGGAAAAATTTCCTAAAAATTATCGATAATTTCCATTGCACTTGTTATATTACTATTGATAATTCATCTCTTAATAGAGTAGACAAAATACCTGATTTGCGAGTTACTTTCAACAGCCAAATGTCTTTGGTTCCTCGCATAAATGCGCTATCATCCAGGGCATTCACTAGGCTGGGGTTTGTTTTGCGTAACTGTTCTGATTTTTCTGTTCCAACTGTACGTCATTTATATATTTCTTTGGTGGAAAGTATACTAAATCAGGCCTTTCCAGTCTGGACCCCTTTTTATCAAATACATAAAGACAGGCTTGAATCTGTTCAAAATAAATTTTTACGTTATTGTCGATTCAGACTCCAAATTCCTCGAGATCAATGGACGTATGAAGGTATGAAGATATGCGAAACATCCTATCTATTAATAGTCTCAAGTCTGATCGAATTTCTTGTGAACTTTGTACTATTTTCATGTTGGTGTCTGGTGATACAGACTGTCCGGATCTACTCGAATAGATATGCTTCAAGGTTCCTTCACGGAACACTTGTAGTACCAATTTGTTTCACATTTCATATCATTCTAGCAATTATACATATAACAGCCCTTTATCTAGATTCTCTTGACCAGTAAATACTCACAATTTTGAGGTAACTGGAATTTCATTTCCAGTTTCACCCTCAGTTCAATCCCGTCTTGTAATTCTCCAAAGGGGTGACGTTTTGGTGCCTTTTTGTAAGGGAACCTACATTGTACCTGACTCTTAGTGCTAGTGTTAACTTGTATAAATCACACCACTGATACTATATTTTAATCTTTTGCATTAGTGAGTTTTGTAAATTTTGTTGATCTTCTCAGTTTTACTTTTTTTTTTTAATTTTGTTAGTATAGTAATTACAGTAGTAGTAATATTTTGTAATAGAGGGGTGAACCCGTATATTCAATAAATAAATAAAAAATAAATAAATAAATCCTTTATAATATTTGCTTTTGTGGTGCGGATGACATGCTTTACTTGGTGGCTAGAAATCTATGCTAATACCACCCATGTTGCTGCTACATTAAGTTTCATTATTCTGCCCTGAAGGAACGACCTATACCTGAGACTGGTCATCATTGATTTATCGATGGTACAGAGTACATAACTGCCGCATCGTGTACTTAAATAACGCAACATAGCATTTTGTCGTTTCTAGTCTCTTAAGGCCCTTTCAATTACATAGAACCTCTGTGTTTCGCACAACGACAGTAATGTCACAAATAGTCAAATGGGTAACCAAAACTGCTAGCCTGGGTAGAACAAAAACAACAAAAATATCTAAATCTAATCTGTTTGCTTTATTATCTGGTTTTCACTTGTAATTAAGTAAGAAAATTTTAAACCAAAATTTCAGTATGTATTTCAAAACCTGACCCTGACAGACATGAATTAAAAATACCAGCCATGCGAATTTGCTGTGTGAATAAAATTTCCAACTATCCACCAAGGAGAAATGTCCAGTTGTCATGGAAAAGCTTCAAGAAAAGTGCCTTTGATTGGCTTAAAAGAAAAGGTTTAAAATTTTCCACATAATTCTCAATGACTACCTATTTTTGACAGAGAAAAAAAAAAGACATTTATTTATAGACTGATATCTTTCCAACATATTTTTGATATCTTTAAAATCACCTTAACGTAAAAATTATATATAATAATCTTACATAATCGTTTAAAAAAAGATCGCTGATTCCCCGGTCCTTACTAGAAACATATGCATTCGAGACCAGAGAAATTAATATCCAAAGCCTGATTAATAATAAAAATATAACCCAAAAATAGTTATAATGATCATTTCATTCTCATACAATAATTTGAATAGGAGACTATTAATCAAACTTTAGAAACTCTTATTAACAAGCTTTCAAAAAAATATATTAATCAATGAAACCATCTTTTTGTATCTACACAAAATCATCAATTTTGAGATGAAGTAAAAACAATTTAACAATTAAAAACACCAAATGCAAGGATAACTTCTTTTTTTATTAATAAGTAATTAAATAGTTTAAAAAAAAACGACAAATATCTCAAAAAATAATGGGACACTACTTTAAGGATGAAAGCACAGTCATAATAATATTAATTAATAATACACTGTATGGCAAAACAACTGGGACACTTGAAAATTTCATACATTTTTCATGATTTCTTATTGTTTATTATGCAAAATCAATGCTGTCAGGGGTAATCTTTATCAAAATGAGCTTTATTGACAAGAAGAATAATTAGTGTTCAGGACCTTAATCCTTGAAATCGTAGGAATAAAGATTTTCCCACTACTATTGGCACGGATTGTCTTTATTATCTTTATTTTAAAACATTTTCAAATTGTTTAGAATCTCTATTTAATATTATCAACAATGAAAACAGAATCATCTTTGTTTCAATAAGACCCACACAGAGGAGTAGGGTAAACTTTTTAAAACTGAACCAGATTTGTAGTGAATGGATGAAATATGGTATTGAGAAGGTGAGTGATATGTGATAAAAATAAAAAAATCTTTTCACCCTCACTTTTAACAGAGGATCTGTCATTTCGATTGGCGTCTCTTATAAAGCTTATACCAAGTTAGTAATTAATTAAAAAAACACCTCTAAATAACTTTTGTCCAATTTTTTTGCCAGTAAGTGTATTTTTTTGGTTAAAATATGTAAAATAATAAAATTTGATTTATTGATTTTCAAGCAATAATATGTATATGTATTTGCTTTTATAGAGACTTTTCGCAACTATATATTTTGAGTTAAGGCCATCAGTATTGCCAGCTTTTCAAAAATTTCATTACTTTGAAATAAAAAAAACAGCACATTCTATTATCAATAATTATTCAGGAAATAGAGGCAGGTGCTAAACAAGTCAACATTTCCAAGTCGAGTTTTTTTTTTTAATTCACATAAATACTTATTTCAAATCATGAACTCACAGCAGAAGCTTCACAAAAGAAATAGAGAAAAAAATAAATACTTAGTCTATAGGTTGTACAAATTCCCATTTTACAAATTTTGGCAATAGTCTTTAAACAATATGGCTCTAAATTAATTAACAAGTTCTTTTTTTTTATAACAATGTTGAAACTAATTAATGAAAACATTTAAAATAATACGAGTTTTCATTAATTTTTAAGATCTTAAAAAACCTTATTATATTTTTTTACAACCTTTATTGGTTGCTAGCCTTATTTTTAATTCAACTTTTCCTCCTCGTATTATGAGAAAAATCAATTTGATTAAATAATCGTGCTTAAAAAAATAAAAAAACGTAAAAAGGCTTTAACATGTTACTTTAGGAATTGCCAAAAGTCTCTAATATAAAAATATTAACACTAAAACATAGTTTTACTATACTAAGCTCATCGAAAGTAAAATATTCAAGGGATGGCTGTTATTTAACAAAAAAATTACTGCAATTTGCAAGCTTAAAATGATTCAATGTCAATATAAGATGCAACAATTAAAAAAACATCATTTAACAATGAATCCTTAAAATTAAAAACCTTACCGAAAGTTGTTGTACTTCAAAACAATCATGTTAGCTCTCTTAAATCAAAATGTGTACGTCCACAAAGAACTTTTCCAACGAAGCCCGTTTGTCTGGAGTAATTTTGGGAAATCTGTCCACGTGATTTTCAAAAATATCGGCGGGTATAGCTTCAAGCGGCACAGCAACTTTGCTTACGCTTTCAGAGTGTTTCACCCATGCTACGAGGAATTCGGTCCAGGCGTTTTGTTGTTTTTCGGTGGGATCCACTATTGAGAAAATTTGTTCCGCTCGCATTAGGAAGCAAATTAGGGCTGAGACACCAAACTGTAAAAAAAAAATTAAACCATTTAATATGTGCATGTATCATTGGCCTGTCTGATATTTTAAACTCTCGAAAATTTCTATTTTTTGTTGTCCACCTAAAAGTCTTAGATCAAATGCCTGAGTCAGATCAAAGAATAGTGCAATAATTAGGAAGGAAGAGGATATCAAACCTCTAAAGACAAAATTCGGCAATTCCAAGGAGGCCTTGCTAGTTTTTTCCGAAACCCATGTTAATTTACACTGATTATTTTTCTGGTATTCAGATATTGATCTAAGCGATTCAACACTGCTTTTTATGTAAAATGTACTGGTTGGAAAAAAGGATATTTTAATAAAAGAAACGTTAAATATGGATCCAATGTTTGTTACAGGGATAGCGAAAGGGATAACAAATGAAGAGTTTCTGGAAGATATTAAACGACTTAACGATAGAATCGAAACAGACCTGGGATATAGTATTGAGGGAAAAATCCAGGAGATAACTAAAGAACAATACAGAAACCCCTTTAAAGAAGTCTGGATCCCAGCACCACTGGAAATCTCAAAATGGTTCCTTAAAAAGGAAACAATTAATTTTGATCTGGTCAAAGTATACGTCTATGAGCATTTCAACTTGGCTGTATGTTTAAACTGCTCAGGTTTTGGTCACGTAGCAAAATACTGCAAAGAAAAATAGTGTTGTCATAAATGCGGTGAATAGAATTGCAGGTTTGAATTCCTTTTTGTGACGTTCCCTTCAGATAATTTCTTTGAGTGGAATTACATCACTAGATTGAAGTAGGCCTTGCTAATTTTATGCAAACTACTGGTTGAATTTTTATACTTTATTGACTAAATGGTTAACAAAGAATGGCGCCAGCTAATTTATAAGAAAATAATATTTTGCTAAAATTGCGCTGTGCGAGAGAAAAAATAAATGCGATGGGCGCAATGTTCTGCTTTGAGTGCTGCTGGCGACTGCTCGGTGCTCGGTGACGAAGACCACGAAAGGGCCGGGCGGCACGACCGCGAACTAACGCGATTCACTGACAGCTGATTCCAGAATATACGGCTAAAGTCGCGTATACACCATACTTGAAACGGCTGCGGACGCACACAATAATTATTTCAAACTGAGGTTGCATTTCGGCGCTTAACATCCCGGCGGCCTTGAAAGTACCTACTTTCAAAAATTTACAAAAAAATACCTAATTAGCTGGGCGCAATACAGAAAAGTTTCAAGAAAGTATTGTACAAATCATTTGTGATAAGAAGTTATGAAATAATATCAAACTTTACAAAAATAAACATACACTAAAGGTGTCTTTTAATCGTCCAGTGGAAGAACACTAAGTTTATTCACTGCACGTTTGGTTGTACCGTTTTTAGTTTTTAATGTCACTACCCTCACAATACCGTCTGTTCCTGGGTGAACATCAGTAATCCTTCCGAGGGGCCATTGTAGTGGAAAGGTATTATCTTCTTTGAGCACTACTAGTTTGCCAACGAGTTGCTGTGTGGGTCTCTGGAAACGCCACTTGTTCCGCTGCTGTAGATTATGCAAGTAGTCATTGGACCATCTTGACCAGAATATTTGAACCATTTTTTGTATGTGTTTAAAACGAGACAGCAGATTGACCTTAACTTCCTTCAAATCCAGTTGAGGTGGCGAGTTGAGAGCTTCTCCAATTATAAAATGGCCTGGGGTAATTGCTTCTAGGTCGTTAGGATCAGGAGAGAGAGGTACTAATGGCCGTGAATTGAGTATCGATTCAACTTGAGCAAGAAGTGTTGCAAATTCTTCGAAAGTTAGAGGCGTGTTGGATAAAGTGCGTTTTAAGTAGTATTTGACAGATTTCACAGCCGCCTCCCAGATTCCTCCGAAAGTAGGAGACCTAGCTGGTATAAAACTCCATTGCATTTGGGAGTCAGTAAAGAAATTTTGAACGGGATCACTATTTAAAATTGAATAGATCTTTTTGAATTCGTTGTTGGCTCCAATAAAGTTGGATCCATTATCGGAGAAGAGATTAGTAGCCATTCCTCGCCTTGACACAAACCTTCTGAAAGCAGCTATAAAAGCTTCAGTTGTAAGTTCGCTGACAGGTTCAATATGAACTGCCTTTGTGGATAGACATATAAATATGCATACATAGCATTTAAGTATTTTTCGGTTTCGGTATTTCCCATCTTTTAATAGAAAAGGACCACAATAATCAAGACCGCAATTAGAAAAAATACGACTAGGAGAGACTCGTTCTGAGGGCAGGTCTCCCATTTGAGGCAGAATGGTGGGTGGATCAGTCTTGAAACAACGCATGCATTTACGAATTACACTTCGAACGGTACCTTTGCCATTTAGCGGCCAGAAGCTTTTTCGAATAAAAGACAAGGTAGCTTGTTGTCCTGAATGCAAGTTATATTCATGAAAATGTTTAACGATTAATTTTGTGAATGAATGGGTACTAGGTAAAAGTATAGGGTGTTTGTGGTTAAAGTTAATTTGAGCGTGTTTGAGCCGGCCTCCCACACGTAGAATACCACTGTCATCCACAAAAGGATTTAGACTGGCAAGTTTACTTTGAGATTTAACACGCTTTATTACCTTGAGATCGTGAAGCTCGTCTGAAAAGCACTCAGCTTGTACAATTTTAATCAAATAATTTTCTGTTGCAATACGCTCAGTAGGTGTGATATTAATCGAACTTGGTGACTGTTGTTCCGATTTGGATCTCTGGATAAATCTCAAACAATAAGATACCACACGCACAAGCTTGTTATAGTCGGAAAAACGTTGAAAAATACTGTAATTTATTGCGGTTGTTAATATTATTGTTTTGGGATTAAATTCAATCATTTCTGCTGAACACCTTGCAAAATTCGTTATGTGGCAATCCTCTGGCCAATTAACCTGAGGTTCGGACAAAAACTGGGGACCATGCCACCACATTGATGAATTTTCAAGATCGCCAGGGTCAATTCCCCGGGATATTATGTCAGCTGGGTTATAGTTTGATGCTACATGATACCAACTGTTGATGTCAGTAAGCTGCATAATCTCAGAAGTTCTGTTGGAGACAAATGTTTTCCATGTTCTGGGCTCGGAGCTCAGCCATGACAAAACGATTGTTGAGTCGGTCCAATAGATAATAGAATTAAAATCAATGGAAATACATGAAATAACCTTATTCATGAGTCTCGATAAAAGTAATGCGCCTAATAGTTCCAATCTTGGCAATGAGAGAGCTTTAAGCGGTGCCACCTTGGATTTTGCGGTTAATGGATTAACGGAAATGGCTCCATTTGGTGTTTCTGATCTGATGTAGATGCATGCACCATAACTATGAATTGAGGAGTCGCAAAACCCATGAATTTGAATATTTGTAGCATTTATTGCTATGACATGTCTAGGAATCTTGAGTACGTGAGCGTTGGAAATTACAGAAGCTAAATTTGTCCATAATTTGAATATGTGAACAGGGACAAGATCATCCCACCCTACTTTTGATATCCATAATTGTTGCAATAAAATTTTACCTTGTACTATTATGGGACCAAGCAAACCTAAGGGATCGAAAATATGGGAAATTGCTGACAGTATTTTTCGTTTGGTTATATTTTTCTCAATAACAATTTTGGAACTATATTCAAAGCAATCGGAAGTAGGATTCCAGTTTACGCCAAGAGTTTTATTTCCGTGAGATTCGTTAACAAGTTGTTTTGTATTGCTTATAGCAGAAGATTTTAAATCATTTAATACGCTAGGATCATTGGAACTGAATTTTCGCAACTCAAATCCAGCACCTTTGAGTATTGAGGATATATTTTTTCGAATTTCGATAAGCTCTGTAGCACATTTCGCCCCGGTTATAAGATCGTCAACATAAAATTCGTCCATAAGTATTTTAGATTCTCTAGGAAATTGGGGTTGAGATTCAATTGCAATTTGTTTTAAGCACCTGGTAGAAAGAAAGGAAGCAGAAGATGTACCATAGGTTATTGTGTTTAGTTCATAATGATTAAGTTCTTGTTGTTGATTATCTCGCCATACAATTCTTTGTAGGCTGCGCTCTTCAGGCCTAATTAGGATTTGGCGGTACATTTTAGCTATGTCACCAATTAATACAACGTTATGCTGCCTGAAACGCAATAAAATTGAGAAAAGATCATTTTGTATGGTTGGCCCTACCCTGAGGACATTATTAAGTGAAATGCCAGAAGTCGTTTTGGCAGAGCCATCAAATACGACTCTGAGCCTAGTTGTAGTGCTATCCTCTTTTTCTACCGAGTGATGAGGGAGGTAATATGTTGGAAATGTCGGAGGTTTTAGAGGGTCTATCTTTGTCATGTGACCTAAAGTTTGGTACTCAGACATAAATTTGGTATATTCTTCTCTAAGTGAAGGGCTTCTGTTTAATTTGCGTTCAACAGAATAAAACCTTTTTATGGCTGTCCCTTCAGAATCGCCAAGTTGAGATACATTATTTTTTAAGGGAAGGCTTACAACAAATCTGCCAGTTTTATCACGAGAGAATGTATTTAAAAAATGAGATTCGCATTCCTCCTCTTCTTTAGTGAGCAAAGGCTTATTTTGCGAGTAATTTTCTTCGATACGCCAAAAGGCTTCAATTTGGTTTTGTATAGAATCAAATGTGCTGAGAAAACAATTATTATTTAAACTTGTGTTGATGATTATGGGTGTACATCCAGAAATCACCCAACCTAATTTGGTTTTGTGGAGAATGGGCGAGTTAGGACCTAGTTTTATTTGTCCAACACTCAGCAATTCATAAAAAATGCTAGCACCTAATAACATGTCAACTTCAGCAGGTGAATTAAAGTCTGGATCAGCGAGTGAAATATTAGTAGGAATTTTAAAGTTACTTGTACTAATTAATTGCTGGGGTACTAAACCAGTGATTTTGTTTATTACTAAAAATGGCAATTCAAAAGAATAATTACTAAATAATGATTTGGCTTTAATAACCGTACGTTTTGAAATATTTATAAGATTCTGACTT